TCCACGCGCTGCTCCCAAAGGACCCCACAGGACAACCTGGGTCCCCCAGCAGTGAATGGTGACAACACGTGCGAAACGCCATCTGCCAGGGAGGCTCACTGGAGACTCCGAGTCTGGGATTTTTGCTGGGGGCAGGTCACCAGGGCCTCCTTGCTCATCATGTACCCAAATTCCAGGGTCCCGGAAGGAAAGCAGGCATGCAGCATAAAAAACGGTGTTGGCCCAAACAGCTCAGGCCAAAAGTCACTCTTATCACTGAGGGAACAGCGGGAACTGTCCCCAAACCCAAGTTCCCAGACGCCCACCAAGGGTCAGCATGGCCAGCAGGCCCTTCTAAGGATAGTCTCAAGCCTGCTCTGTTTACTCTCTTCTGCACAGGAAAAAAATCCTCCAAACATCACCCCCAGGGAGAAGCTCTCGTGAAAACACTATTAAATGGGTGATACGTCATTTACACTCGCAGGACATTCATCTTACTGTCCCGAAGGGCTCATTCAAGTGTGGTGCTGGGCTGTTCAATGTCATGACTACCACAGGCAGGATGGACCCAGGTTCAAATCCTGTCTCTGCCATGCCCCAGTGCTGCGACTTGGTCTCAGTTTCTTCTTTAAAATGGGCACAGGCACCTGTTTTCCTTCCTCTCCCCTCTCCTTTCCTCCTCTCTCCATAACCTACTGGGAGGAAGAACTTCAAGACCCCTTGCAAACTGTAAAAGGCTTCCACAGAGAGACCTGAGGACTCGACCAGCTTTCCTGCCCCACAGGGATCTCCTCAAAGTGCCTGGCCTGCTCCAAACCCCCTCCTGGCTCCAGAGACCAGGCTCTGGGTGGGCTCTGCCCGGAGGCTCCAGAGGCCATGTCTGCAGCCCTCATTCTGGAGAGCCTGGGGCACAGCCTGTCACCTCACTTTTGCACTTTCTTTTCTACCTGCTTGTAACAAGAGTAATGTGGATTTCAAGAGGGAGCTTGGTGCCTGGTGGGCCCGGCCTGTGAACATGCCAGCTTCGTCTCCCTAGCTCTTTCTTGCTAAATACTTGTCTCCTTCTGTCCCTGCCAGCAACAGCTCAAGAAAAGCTGGGAGGGCACCAATCCACCCATCAGGTGACAGAATAGTCACCCACAGGTGCACTCAACCATGGGGACTTGGACAAGCCATTAACCATTTTGTCCTTGTCTGCAAATGAAGACAGTGACTGCTACCCCACATCCTCTGGGGTGAAGGGAGAGGACGGATGTGACTGAATTATTAACCATGTGGGTCTGTACGAGTGAGAGGGGCCGACGGTTATTCCAGTGTGTGGAGATCTGTTTCCCCCCTCAACACGGTCAACTAGATATGTCCTCGACGGCTAGAATGTAAGATCTTTGCACATGCCTTTGAGGTTTCTTTCAAGTTAATGGTGCCCAGGAAAGAAAGAATTTCAAAAGTCATCCCCCAGGACCCCATCTGCTTGTACAAAGAAGTGCACAACCAAAGAGTTTAATCATTGACGCGTTGAGCGGCCCTGATAATTTATGCTAATAGTCATGTTCGAGTGTGGAAGGAGAAACAGCTTAAGCCGGCTTCCTGCAGCCTGTGCCTCCCACCCCCTCCCTCAGCATGAAAGGCTTTTGAGCACGAGGCCCCCCTTCTTTGTCCCTCTCACAAAGTGGCTTTCGAAGCCTCTCCTGGTTACCTGGTAACATACGCCTCGCACAGACTGCGATTTCTAAGCGGAGCCGGAATGTCACCGGAGGGTGGTGAATTTTCTAAGATTCAGGATCTCAAGAGCTCACTGAAGCTTCGGGGCCCGGTGCCCTGGTAAGTAGTGGCCCAAGACCTGTTCCGACCTAATTTAGCATTCAGAACCTGCTATCAACCTGCTACCTACAGGATCCCATCCCTCTCCCATCGGCCAACAGTCAGGGTGCATGCACGGAACAACACAGCTTTTTCAAGTAATGACAGTGGCGACAACAACGCCATGCCACTTAACAGCAAAGAAATGAAACCAGTAACTTAGTAGAGAACGAAGCTTCGCCTCTCATCCGGGGCTCAAGGCTGGCCATGCCCCTGCCCACACCACTCTGGGCCTCGCCGCCTTCCCCAACCATGACCCTGGGGAGCTGCCCGGCAGCCCTGGGTCACACCCACCACGGGACCTCCCCTACCTGCTTTTATCTTCCCATCCCCCTTTCTCCCCAAGAATTTTCTACAAGTCCTCCTGGGTTCCCTGAGATGTTTTCCCTTCTGTGAAGCTATCCCCACTCCTCTCAGGGGCCATCACCCAGTGCTAAGCAGGGAGGGGAGCCAGCAGCAGGCACTGGGGGGAAAACAGTAAGGCGATGGATCAGGACCCAAAAAACCCTCAAGATTCAAGGGTGACCAATTTGGAGCCCCTTCCTAATCAGGTGGCCGGAGAGCTAGAGGTGTGTGGCTCTGCCTGAAAAGAGCCAGGCATACCCAGGCTGGTGCCCCACCTCGGCTAGGGGCTAGCCACGCAGCTCCCCGGAATTCCCTTCTGTGTGCCTCAGTTTTCCCTTCTATTAAATCGGAGTGAGATCAGGCCAGGGTAGTTGTGAAAATTGAGTAGGAAGATGGGAAACAACAGCAATTCCCAACAGTAAAGAATGCATAATTTTAAAAAAAGAATGATTCATATGCTGGAATTGGGCATGTCTTCATTCAATGCGTTAAAGGATTGCCCTAATTATTAGGCATTGGGGGGGCAGTTTCAGAGCAGAGGCAAAGGCCAGAATTTAAGCCTGAAAGTGGTTTGCAAACGCCCCTCCGAAGTATGAGTGAGAACACTTCCCACCCTGTGCGGAACCTGATAAATATTTATCGAGGTCTCGTTCCGTTTGAGTCAGGTGCTCGCTTACTGAAGGGTAGGTGAGAGCCGGGGAGGGGTGATTTTATTAACCATATTGAAGCAGAACAGCTGCTGCTAGGATTCAGCCCATTTCCCTTTTACCAGGGTCCCTGGGGACATTGTTAAAAAGTGCCCCTGCTGCGTCCTCTGAATAAAGGATGGCTTTGGGGCAACCCAGAATGAGGTGCCACTGGGGCTGGCTGGGAAAGATGTCCCTGTCCACAGCCATGCTTCCCCAGGACACCAGCACAGGGCCACACAAACAGAGGGGACAACAGTGCCCGGGGCTGTGGCAGATGACACAATTGCGGTGGGGGGAGGGAAGGAGAGCTGAATTCTGGGGAGGCCCGTTGCCTGTCACTAACGGGATCATTAAAAGCAGTTTCTGACTTTCCTTCCTTTTGGCCCCTTGGACATCTTTCCTCGCGGGGCCTGTGCCTGGGGTGGGCCTCAGAGCCCATAGATCAGAGTGGAGGGGCTGTCACATTTACTTGTCATTTGGTAATTTTCAATGAATTAGGGGTATGGGGTTGCCATCTGCCATCTGGCCGTGCTCTGGTAACCATGGCAACCACCACCTGCCTGACTTAACACTCTCAAGTCCTGTCCTGAAAGAACACTACAGAGGGCACTCGGGTCCTGGGTGCTGGTCAGGCTTTACTGGTCACCCTGGCTGTGTCCCCTGCCCTCTGGGTCTCAGGCTCCTCTGTAGCATAGCAGATTCCGTCTGTATGTCTTCAAGGAGGCTCGGCCTCAGGAACAGAACAACACTCCAGGGAGAAATCATCTGAGACTATCAGCATCGGTTAGATCCTGGGGACTTGGTCAGCATTTCTTGCGTCTCCAGCGTGTGGAGTGAAACTGTGACTTGTCTGGAGACAAAGAGAACTGCCTGTGAATTAACTGCTAGGGAAGGCAGATTGTAAAAAGGAGTGAAAGGAACTGGAGGAAGGAAGGAGGCAGGACTGTTTAAATGCCACAGATCAGAAACAAAGATTCCAAGTGGAAGGGACCTCAACCGTGGCTCCACAGGGCTGACGGGGCCCAGAGAGGGGCAGGGACCTGCCCAAGGTTGCTCAGGGAACCAGCAGCAGCAGATCGGGAAACACTTGCCAGCTCTTTCCTTCACTGGAAGCCCCGGCCAGGAATACCCAAAAGTGCCTTTCCTATGCTGTGGGACTGCCTCAGCCTCCTCAGTGGGCAACAGATCAGTTTTGTGATGCCTGGGACAGGAGCCTTCCTGCCCCATCCCCAGCAACCCGCTGGGTCTCCTGCACTTGAGTGCACGTACCTGGAATGCTTGGGTGGAAATAATACTAGAAATTCTCCAAGGCCTAGAAAAGGTTGTCCCCTACCCTCAAGGCTTCCCTGTTGGAGCTAAAGTCATTACACCGACTTACACATTTAGGTCTAGATTTGGGTCTCCAGGCCTAAGTCAGAACCCCAAGCCAGGTTCCTTGGAACTTCCGGTCCACAAGCTCACTCACCCTCAACTCTCCACTGCCCGCTCCAGGCAGTGCAGATGGGGCAGCTCTCCAAAACCTCATGGGCCATCAGGGTGCTCCACTGGGCATCCGTATACTGATGTTGTTAGTCTATTTTTGTTTGAGTTATAAAAAGTTACTTATAGAGGTGGACAATGACGGCACCCATACATGACTTTCCTGGGACCTTAATGAACCTGAAGCTTCTAGGTACCCAGCAATGAATAAATTTCCATTCCTTTACCCGCCGAATCATATGAGCCTTAGACCCACAAAACCCAGGTTTGGCCCTGATAGCACCATCATCTTTTCAGAACTTAGGTCCTTAAAGATCTTACCTGTCCTGGGTGGGAGATTCCTCAGGGTCTCCCAGCAGGGCCCTAACCTAGGGTTATCGCCCAGTGATTCCTGACTCCCTGTCTGGAGCTCCTCCTCCTCTGGCATCTTCACCTTCCCTCTCTCTCCGCTCCAAAACCCGACCCTGGCCTGGCTTGCTGCTGGTCCGGGGGGACTTACACCCAGTAGGACACCCCCTCCCCCAACTCCCAGTCTGGTGGAGGCATACATGGCAGGCCTGCACAGAACTGCACGCCTTTTGGTAGTTAAGTACCAAAAGAGACAGTAGGCTCACCAAAATTCTGACCAGCTCAAGGGCTTGTATCTCCATGAGCCTGGGAAGGGGTGAAGGATGTGGATTCCTGCCCCAGGCTCCTGGAGTACCTGGCGAGGTAAGAAAAACTACTTCCGAAGGGGAAACTGAGGCTCTCAGTCATGGCTCATGCAGGCATCCTCTGCCCCACATTCCAGAGGGCTGGGGTCCCTCTTTCTCCTCCTGTCCCAGCACCGCACGGCAGAAGCCAGACTCACCAAATTCGCAGGGGCCCTCCCGCGCCTTGTGCAGGTGGCCGGGGTGCGGGCGGGGCGCGTGCCAGGCGCGCAGGCGCAGCGCGCAGATGCTGGGGTAGGAGCGGCCGTCGGAGCCACAGACGGAGCCGCGCTGCGCGCACACACAGAGCCCGGTACCCTCGGGCGCCGCCCCCGCGGCGCGGCTGGCGCACACCAGGCCGGGGCCACAGCGCGCGCCCGCCCGCCCCCCGCAGCTCGCGCCCTCGGCGCCCAGACAGCGCACGCAGCAGCCGCACTCGTCGCGCGCCGCGATCCCGGGCGCGGGGCAGCGCGCGGGCGCCGGGCAGCGCTCCGGGCGGCACGGACCGCACTCGGGGCGCCGGCCGCCGGTGGCGCGGAGCCCGAGACCTGGGGCCAGCGGCGGCAGCAGCAGCACCAGCAGCAGCGGGAAGAGCGAGGGTGAGCGTGGCATGGTCTGCTTCTGGACGGCAGTGGCGCCTCTGCTTCGCGCTGTGCTTTGCGCGCGCCGCCACCCCGCCCGCCTCCCGGCCGCTGATTGGCCGGGCCTCCGCCGCGGGGCGCCGCAGCCGGCTGCTGGGGCCCGGGAGCAGCGCGGCGGGGTGGGCTCGCGGACGCCCGGGTTCCCAGCTAGAGTGATGTCCCGACACCTGCTCTCGTGGACCCAGTGGCCTCTTGGGGAAACTGGCCCACTCGGGGCGGGAACTTGCTCGAGGTCGTTCGGGTAGCGCCAGGATCCAGATTCAAGGCTAACTCCAGATTTTATGTACCTTGATTCCCCCCAGAAGGATGCGCTTCGTAATTTTATTTTGCATTTGGTAGTTTTCAAAGTTTTATTTTAAAGAGGGAATATGCGGTTTAAAATTTCAGAGGTTACAAATAGGTGTAATGATGAAAAGAGTTTCCCTTCCATCCTGTGACCCAGTGTCCCAACCCAACCTCAGGAGGCCAACTGTTATCAGATTCTTGTGTCTTTGCAGAAATTTTGTATGCCCATTAAAGCCTGTATGATTGTAGAGCTCCTCCCTTTAAACACAGATACACGGACACACACAGACATACACACACAGAGAGTAGTGTGCCCTGCGCATTACTCTGCACTTGGTTTTTCCATCTATGGTTATTTCCCATAGCTTCCCTACCTCTTATCATTTCTTTTTCTTTTTTTTTTTTTAAAGATTTTATTTATTTATTTGAGATCACAAGCAGACAGAGAGGCAGGCAGAGAGAGAGAGAGAGAGAGAGGAAGAAGCAGGCTCCCTGCTGAGCAGAGAGCCTGATGCGGGCTCCATCCCAGGTCCCTGAGATCATGACCTGAGCCGAAGGCAGAGGCTTACCCCACTGAGCCACCCAGGCACCCGACCTCTTGTCATTTCTTGTACAAACAATGGAGCATTGTTTGTTTTTCTCCCCTGAATGCTACTAAAGTCATGGTATATTTCACAGTCAAAAGTGACTATGGTGGTGATGAGATCTGGGGATCTGTTTTGGACTGGTCTCAGGCTTTTAAACTTGGCGCCGTGCTTAATTGCACAAAAAACACAATCAGTTAGCCAGTTGTTTTGAGTGCTTTTGTTAGTAGGAGTAGTGCTGTGATGAATGTCCTGACCCACATCTCCCGTTAGTCGGGGGTGGAAAGACATGATAGCATGCAGCCAGCTATGTATTCATGCGCCGCCTGTCGGCAGTCAGGCTCTGTGTATCCCATCCCTGGCCCAGCCCTGGCGGGGGACACACACAGGAACACCTGAGGGTTCCTGATTGCTGGATTTGGTTGTGTGGCCGAATGAAGGCATGGGTTGGAGGGAGGGACTTGCTGACCCAGCTGTATGGATGGCTTTTCCTGCTCACCCTTTAATCCTCATTTGCCTTGTGGAGTTTTCTTCCTTTTCCAAACGCTTAGAGTTGGAGAAGCCTCTTGGATTGGTGTCCATTTCTTTGAAAATGGCCTGCAAGCCCATAGCCCAATGAACTCTGGTTCCCAGGGTGCCAGTTAACACTGTGGGGAACATCTGTGGGCCCCTTAAGATTATAGGAAAAAGAAAAGATGAGTTCTCCTGGCAGGGAAGGGGGTTGAGGCCCCTCTATTGTCCGCCAGGTAGTGAGCTCCCTTGATGTTCTGTGTCCTCTGCTCACGGCTGGCACACACGGGAGGCTAGCTTATCCAGCACCTCGGGTGGGCGTACGCGCACTCAGCAGCTGCTGAAGTGGCATGAATGTCCCAGTCTGAGGAGTTAAGGTGAGGAGAGCTTTCTCCATAAATGGGCCACAGTCTTGAATCTCAAGCTTAACCGTCAGACCAATCAGAAAAGACATTGATCCAGGCCGAGAGAAAACAAAATCCCTGTCTCCAGGTCTCTGGTGGGACGTTCCCGAGCAGAGAGAGGGGTAGGTTTTCATGCATGAGGGGTGGGAGTTATGGAGGGACAGATTTCAACTCAGTCCTGTGTAAGAAGGAACATCACAAGATATGGAGCTCTGCAAAAATGAAATTAGATGCTGAGCTGCCAAGATATGATAGAGGGGTTCCCCTCCTGCTGTAAACAATTATAAAACCCACACAAATGAACACAACAACAGTGTGTAGGTACTGGTCTTGGAATGGGGATATCTGGGGGGACCCAGATGAAACAGATGAAGTTGAGAATCTTTTTTTTTTTTTTTAAAGATTTTTTTATTTATTCATTTGACAGATAGAGATCACAAGTAGGTAGAAAGACAGGCAGAGAGAGAGGAGGAAGCAGGCTCCCCGCTGAGCAGAGAGCCCGATGTGGGGCTCAATCCCAGGACCCTGGGATCATGACCTGAGCCGAAGGCAGAGGCTTTAACCCACTGAACCACCCAGGCGCCCCTGAAGTTGACAATCTTGAGCTCTGAGTTATTCTGAGCCTCCCCCTCACCCCCACTGGAAGCAGTCTGCAGATTATGTCTGAGATTTGCTTTCCCTTGTTTAAGGACCCTGCGAAGGGCTGTTTCCTCGCAAGTCATAACTTTTCTCTTCAAGACCTACCCCACATGCCTCTTGTCGTCACTAGACTCACAACTGGGTTAGAGTTCCATATGCTTGAGAAAGGCAAGTACAAACTCCAGTGTGAGAAAATATAGCTTCTATACCACAAGAACGCCAAGATTTTGCTAAATTACATTGTAGCAACTTGGGGATTATGTGCAAGAATGGATTCTAAGGATGGAAGACCAAAGAGAACAGAACGTAACTTTTACTGAGTCCATAGAGGTGCACTTACCTGAGATTCTGGGTTCAGTGTGTTGGTCTATGTAGCTGGAAGTGACTCTGTCTTTACCAAGCTGTTTAAGTGAAACTGAGGCTTAATGACGATCTGCATTTAGTTAATTTGAGATGCCAGTACTTCCCTAGTGTGTTGCAAAGGAAGAGATGAAAAGGCTTAGAGGTAGGGGTGCTTGGGTGGCTCAGTGGGTTAAGCCTCTGCTTTCTGCTCAGGTCATGATCCCAGGGTCCTGGGATTGAGCCCCACATCGGGCTCCCTGTTTGGTAGGGAGCCTGCTTCTCCCTCTCCCTGCTGCTCCCATTGCTTGTAAGCACAAGCACTCTCTCTCAAATAAATAAATAAATCTTTATAAAAAAATGTGCAGTCAATAGACACATTTGGCAATGGACAGAATCCCAGCATCAGTTCTGTGACACATGGAGGAAGGGCTGTTATAAGAGGCAGGGCCACATGGAAACCCCTGGAACTTTCCTTTTTTACCAAGAGAGTTAGCAGCTGCCATCAGTTTCCTCATAAATAATTGAAAGAGAAGTCACCTTGCCATGGGGAGGATTCATTTTCTTAGAAGGCCGCACAGCGTACTCTCACTTGAGTAAAGCATTTGCCTCCTTTTAGCAGGCCCTTGGCTCTACTCCTTTCAAAGTAACAGTGTGTCATTATTGTGCTGAGTATGTGGTCTCTTCCTGACCTGGTGCCAACACAAACCTGTGCAGTTGACCCTTGAACAGTGCAGATTTCAACTGTGCAGATCCACTTATATGCAGATTTCTTTCTTTCTTTCTTTCTTTCTTTCTTTTTTTTAAGAACTTTATTAATTTGAGAGAGAGCACAAGCAGGGGGAGCAGCAGAGGGAGAGGGAGAAGCAGGCTTCCTGCTGAGCAGGGAGTCCAGTGTGGGGCTCGATCCCAGGATTTTGGGACCATGACCTGAGCTGAAAGCAGACACTTAGCTGACTGAGCCACCCAGGTGCCCCGCAGATTTCTTTTATCGTATAGTACCATAAATGTGTTTTCCTTGTGATTTTTCTTAATAACATTTTCTTTTCTCTAACTTACTTTATTGTAAGAATTTGGTATTCAATACATAGGACATAGGAAATAGGTGTCAGTCTGCATTATCAGTAAAGCTTCTGACCCACAGTAAGCGATCAGTAGTTACGTTTTGGGGAGACAAAAGCTATATGCAGATTTTCAGTGATGCGGATGGTCAGGGCCCCTACCCCTTCCATGTGGTTCCAGGGTTGGCTGTAGTTGGTTTTTCTCAACCAGGGATGGTTTTCTGTTCCTCTTGCTCCATCACGTCTGTGATCTGCCAATTCTTTGATTCATTCCTCATCCAGCGGGCTCTCCAAGGATCTGCTATTGCTTACCAGACTTAGGTGGGACATCGGGGGTTAGATGAGTAAGCCTGTCGCTGTGTGCTCAAGAGGGTGGCCTCAGGAAGGCAGGCTGGAAGCCATTTCAGTGCCATAAATGTGACTACATACAGAGAAGTTCTGGGGGAAAGGAGTCCACCTTCTGGAAAAAAATTTATTTTTTCTCTAGAAAAAATGCTCTGTAAACTGAGCCTTGAGGGGCCAGTGAGTGCTTGGTAATATGGAATCCAGGCCTGAACCCCACAGCTCAGGTCTGTGTTGCTGACAGACTGATACCTTAAAGGTGGGGAGGAAAGGGAGAGCCAGAGGAGGATAAGTCTTTGAGGGCAGTCCCTGGTTCTCTGTTTTTGCCTTCTGCATCTTTCCCAGGGCTTCCATCAAACGCAAGGTTAGTGTGGCCGCCGCCGTGCACATTGCCATCTTGTGGACAATGTAGGGATTACAGATCTCGAAATGACCTTGCTCCGCATTCATTAATTAGTTGTCATTCCTAGTAACTGGAATGAACCAATGTGCTGGCATAAAGCACTCTTGGTTAGGTGAAGAGAACAGAAATGGGTACAGATAATCACTGTGTCCTCAGCGGTATGAGTCTGTCTAAAGCAATGGAGAGATCAGGGAAAGCTTCACGGGTGACATCTGAGCAGGGTCAGATAAGAAGAAAGGGTCTTTAGAGAGCACCTCTGACATCCTCACTTTACAGGGGGGGGGGGACTGCAGCACAGAATGGGAAGAAACTTGCTCAAAGTTACAGAGCCCTGCAGGGCAGAGCTGGGGGGAGGACCGAGGCCTCTGGGTATCCCAGCATAGAACTCCTTTTCCGGTACATGGTGGGCCTTGGTTAACATGGGTCCCCCTCCTGGTGCTCCAGAAATGGTCTTTGCAGGGTTGGATCTGCTGCTCCCTCCGGTCTGTCCCTGCGCAACCCCAGCCCAGCCATTTGTCCCAGTCTGCCTTCTGGAGCCATAATCTCGTTCTCTGTCTTCCATCTGTGAGCAATTGCAAAGCACCAGAACCCTCCCCAGGACAGACACTGTACCTAAGCCAGGATCTTGGCCAATGTGGGAAGAGGGCCCAAGGTGTGTCCCTAGAGTTCCTGTCCTCAGGGACTGACATACTTCTTGGCACACAGGTGCTTTGTAAATATTTGTGAGAAGAATGAGCAGGTGAGGTCAGGGGAAGTAGATGGCACCTGAGGGGAGAGTCCAGATCTCCTGCAGACTTTTCCAGAGTTGAGTCTAGTCTGGGAAGATAAATTGGGAAGATGAATCAGGTCACAAAGGTCACTGAATGCCAGGTTAAAGAGTTAGCCTTCATTCTGCCAGCAGGGGGAGCCATCTTGCTGGTGATGGAGAAGGGGCTGGATTGGACTACAGCTTTATTTCCTTCTTTTTCAAAGTGAGAAAAATCATCACTAGTCAAGGGGCATGCCTGCCCCAGAAAGCCGTCATTGCTACCTAATGAAGAGATTACACTAGATCACCTGGATACCTGGGTTCTTTTGTTTCTAAATTTAATAATTAAGCCAGCCGTATGTCTTTGGAATAAATAGAGGCTGTCTTGTGATTAGCTCCCAACGCTCAGGAAAGACTCACGGCCTTTGTGATGCCCTGCTGAATTCCCTCCTGGCCTGTCACCAGACTCTGAACCCTGCTGGGGGCCTGGGAAGGACTAAAGTTCATCGAGTGCTTCCTGTGTGTCAGGCACCCTCTCACGTGTGTTAGCTCATTTCAACCTACGAGCGTGCAGCACGTAGACCTTATCTCGGATTAAACCGAAGATCCGAGAGGGTAGCAGTGACCTGGTCAAAATTAGACAGCTAGTCCACACTCTGAACCGCTGCCCCGGACTGCTTCTCCATACATAGGGGTCACGTAGCAAATAAAGGCTCGTACATGCCATAAGAGAGGTGCAGGCCACACCAGGAGAAACAAGATTACACTGTAGTGGCCCGGAGACGCTTCATGCCGGATGTTATGCCTGAGGTAGGACTTGCTGAACAAGATGCTGGTGACAAGCAGGACGGAGACAGGGTGTTCATCGTAGGAGTAAAGGGATCAAACATGAATGGCCTGAATCTGTCAGGTGGGGTGTCTGTTCGCTGCCTGTGGGACCCTCTCCCGCTCCCCTGGAGCTGATTAGACCAGGGGTGTTAGGGACTGAATTTTGTCCCCACACAAACTCATAAGTTGAAGCCATAACCCCCGGTATGTTAGACTGTGACTGTATTTGGAGATGGACCTTCTAAAGAAATAGTTAAGTTAGAATAAGGCCATCAGGGTGGGATCCAATCCCATCTGATTCGTGTCCTCCTAAGGAGGGGAGATTAGGACACACACACACACACACACACACACAGAGACACCAGGGATGCACATGCCCAGTGGACAGGCCACAGCGGGGGCTGGAGGGCAGTGAGGAGGCAGGGCTCTGCAAGCCAAAGGGAGAGGCCTCCGTAGAAACCAACCCTGCGGACACCTTGACCTTGGACTTCCAGCTTCCAGAACTGTGAAAGAATAAATTTCTGTTGTTAAGTCCCCGCCGTGGGTGGTGTTTGTTACAGCAGCCCTCTCAAAGTAAGACAAGGGCTGTATGAGCCTAAGACAGAAGAATGAAGACTGACCTATGACCTACGCGGGGGTAGAGATAAACCAGGACAGAGCCTTTCTGTTAGCAGTTAGATCTGAGGGAACCCCACAAAAGAGGGGGTGAACTGTGGGGGTAGAAGTTGAAAGGATACTTGTCAGGACAGCAGTGAGTTGAAGCCACAAGAGAGCAGAAACTACAAAAAAGCAAAGGGACGGCGCCATAGAGAGCCTGAAGCAAGACATACCCGAAGGGAGAGAGACCAGAGAACGAGAGAGCCCTCGGGGGTGGAGAATCATTCCCAAGAGGGGCTTGAGTTTCCGGCGCCTTCCCAGGTTGGGCCCCAGCCCCTGTGGCGGAGTGATGGGAAACCCCGTTAGCCCCGGGCACCTGGCGTGCATCTCTGTTCCTCGCTCCCTGAAGACCCAGAGGAGCAGCAGAGGCTGTGTTTCAGGAAGGATTACAGCTCAGGAAGAATGTAATGTGTGTGGGAAACCAGCAGGGAGCAGGCCAGAAGAGAAGGTTGAAGCAACTGCCTGGAAAGCCTGGAACGCGGGGGCAGGAAAGGGTGAGCTGTGCTGGCGGGGTGGCACTCAGGAGCTGGGGGTGGTCCATGCAGTGGTGGGGCCGTGAGGGTAAGGACCAGTGGCTGTAGCAAGCGGACCCTGCGGTGTGTGTGACCCGGACGCAAGAGGCCTTTATTGCTTGTCTCTGCAAAGCCTCAAGCAGCGGCTCTCTGTCTGCCTCCAGGGTTGATGCAGGGGTCCCGGCCCCTTCCTTGTGGGGGCTGCACCGTTGTGAGGTGATCGCTCCTCACACAGGTGAAGGGGTGCGTGAGAAGGGCCTGGCAGCAGAGGGAACGGAGTGAGAGCAAGGGAGGGGAGCGAGGGGCCACCCTGGCGTGCTGGAGGGGTGGGGACCTGACAGACGGGGACCCAGGGGTCTCGTTCCCATTCAGCTTGGAAGACCATTTGGAATCCATGGCCACGGTGGTGACTGGGAAATCGTCACTCGTTCTCAGCTTCGAGAGAGGCGTGCTTGGGCCTGATCAGGACCCCACCACTCCTTAGGCCCCTGCATCTGTCTGTCTGTCTCTCTGTTACCTGTTCTCGGTCCCTCTGATGGGCACCCAGCTTTTGCTCTCTGTCTTGAGGCCAGACTCCCGAGACACACCTGTCCACCTCCCCACGCACAGTGTCCATCCCCGATACTGGGCGGACATCACTGAGGACCGGCAGTCATGAACCGGGCATTCGGTCCCATCAGTGGTGCCCTGGGGCAGTCCTGTCGCACCAGCATGGCAGCTGGGGCCCTGACACCGCTCTTTGGGCCCGGTGGGATTTCTGAGGCTTGGCTGGTCCTGTGAGTACACATCCCTTCCTTAAACGTTAGTTTTCCTACCCTTAACATAAGGACCTGGGCCTTCATGTTCCATCCTAGGGCTATGTTTGCTGTGATAAAGAGGCCTGTGCTTCATTGGCTTATGATGGTAGAATTTTATTTCTTGCTCACGGACCAGTGTGTGAAAGCACAGTTGGTGCAGAGAACAGGTTCCCCTGCGGAGTGATCCAGGGACCCAGGCTCCTCCCATCTCCTTTCTTTAGGGTCTTGGAGTCCTAAGCCAGCGGATGGGGAAGGAGAAGGCGTCTTTAACTCTCTCAGCCCAGAACTAACCCCTGTCACCTCTGTCGTTCATTGCTGAGCCTTGGCCCCATGTCTGTTCCTGGAGGCCAGAGCCTCGGGACTGTGGCTCTGGATAGGCCAGTCCTTCCGACCTCACTTTATGGAAAGGGATCAGGAATCCCAGTGCACGGCTAGCCGGTTCTGCTGCGTGGGTGGGGTTCGGTTTTGAACTTGTCTCCATCCTCCTCTCCCGGCAGCGGGTGTCCTTTTCCAAAAAGAATCTTGAAGCCAGTGGTCTTAGTTTCCTAGTTTATTGCCTTGAGGCAGAATCCTACTTTATTGCCTATAATCATGTTTACAGCTAGCCAAAGAGGCCTTAACTATCGGGCAAAGTTCTGATAGCTCAGGGGGGCCCCCTGCCCACCCCAGCAGGCTAACAGAGATAACAGCTGTCCAGGAGAGAGGAAAGAGGAAGCAGCTCCTGCTTTTCAAATGAGAAAGCAGGAGAAGGGGAGGAAGAGCAGAAAAATCGTCTTCTGAAACAAGGAAGAAGGCCACCGGCCTGCTTTCGTTTCCCTGGTAAATATTTGACTGGGTGTTTGCCTTTTCTCTGTGGTTTTTGGGTGCTGTGAAGAGAACTGGGCAGGACACCAGACTCTCAGAAGCCGTCCATAACTAAGAGGCCAGAGAAGCTCGCAGCACAGTCCAGAGAGGCAGACTGCTCACGGGGGCCGCGGGCACCGTCCGCCTGCCGAGATGCTTTCCCCAAACTCGAGGTGAGTTATGAGAGTCAGACTGAAGACAAGCTGCTGGACAAACACACGTCGTTGGGAACTGTCTTCTTTGATGCTGGCGACTTGTGGAAACTGGCGGAAGGGCATCGGGTTAGCCGACTTGCAGGTAGGGCTGGCACGCAGACAGGAACCACGGATGGGTTCCTGGGTCAGTGAACAGATTTCTCTTTATCTTCAGTTCGGAGCCAGAACGGAATGGGAAGAGCCCAGGTACGGTGGTGGAGGAGCCGAGTCGGAGCCCTGGCTCTGTAGTTTCTAGAAAATCTGCGTGCCTCAGTTTCCTCCCTTATAAATTAGGTGTAATAACTCTGACCTCCCCCCAACCCCCAGCTTAGGGAAGATCACAGGAGGAGAGACTGTGAAAGGACTTTGAGATCTGACAATCCGGTCCAGATGCCAGCAATTAAAATTCTTGCTCAAACATTGGAACTTAAATATTTAATCTCAAATGGTCTAAGAACTGAAAAGATGAGTCCAAAGCATGACAGAAAGTAGAACTGTTACTTTCTGATGTCCTAGTGTGTCTGGTTAGGTTGTCAGGGGGCTGTCGTGGAGGGTGAGAGGCAGAAGAGGAGTTGTGGACAGACAGACATGCCGGGGGTCACTTGGAAAAGCAGATAACAGGTTTCCCCGCTGTCTGCCACGAAACTTTTCAGAAGCCAGAATGCTGGAAAGCCATTATGCGGAAAAACTTTTGAGTGTTCCCAGGCCCCAAAAATAACCTCTCTTAGGCTTTTCTGTTACCCTCAGACACATTTTGCTAACAGATGCACAAACTAAATAGAGATAAAGCACCAGTGCTCACCCCGTTCGAAGCTCTGGCGGCTTGATGGAAATGTGTCTCCAGGGGAAGGAGCATGGCGACAGCCCCCTCCCTCCCAGGGTCCCTGCTACTTCTCTACTGGCTTGTTGTGAAACAAACCCAGGACACTGTTTTCACTTTGGCTTTTTTTTCATAAAGGGGAAAATCACCTGTGGATTTCTTTTGGTTAATGGAAACAGGGACTAACATAGGGCTTCTGTAGAAGGGAAGTGGCATAACATGAACTTTGGAAAAGTGGGATGTAGCTGTCCCTGGAGCCCCAGGCATCGGGAACGGAGAGGGCGGGGGGTGGAAAAGGACATAGGACAGGAAACAGAGAAGAGGGGGTCCTGGAGGACAGGTGGACAGAGAGGGGAGTCAGCTGAGTGCCAGGGGACAGGAACCAGGAAGCCGGAGGGCGCTCATCACTTCCTCTTCTCTCCAGCTGGACTCCGTGGGCTGAGAGGGAGCAGGGGAGTGTGGTTGGATGCGGACTTCAGGGAGGTCCCTCTGGTCACAGGGTAGAGGACGGATGTGGGGGCAAACCAGGAAGGGTGAGACAGGGCAGGAAATCCACCCTGAATCCAGGTGACAGTGAGGGTAGCCTAGGCTGTGGCAGGGGCCGGGGGGACAGAGACATGTCTGGATTCAGCAGGGATCGCAGAGTGCCCCTGACTGGGTTGGATCTGGGGGTGAATTGGAAAACGTGCCTCTGGGTCTCTGGCTTGGCTGAATCAGGGGATGGAGGAGCCATTCCTGACATGAGGAACCCCGAGGAGGAGCAGGTTGGCAGGGGTGTCCAGTGGGGACACGCTGGACTGGAGTCCCACGGGACATCCAAAACGAGAGGACCAGGAGGCAGGCAATTGGCCATATGGTCTCGACTCAGAATAAGTCTGTGCTGCACCCAGAGGACGTGACTGACTCCATGACCTTCAGGGCCCCTCCCAGGACCTCCTCTTTGTCGTGGTCATCGCCTGGACCCAGGCTGCCTTGTCAGGCCCTTCTCACAGGGCAGGGCTCAGGCCTGAGCATGTTGCTCAGATCTGTCTGGCCGGTGAAGAGCAGGGGTCACTGTCTTATCTGAGGACCCCCGACATGGAGCCATTATCCATGTCTTAGTGTGATTTTAAAGATGTTATTTATTTATTTGTGAGAGAGAGGGAGAGCACAAGCAGGGGGAGCAGCAGGCAGAGGGGGAAGCAGGCTGCCCACTGAGCAGGGAGCCTGATGTGGGGCTCGATCCCAGGACCTTGGTGTCACCACCTGAGCTGAAGGCAGATGCTTAGCCAACTGAACCACCCAGGCGCCCCCTTACTATAATTTTAATGTGTGAATCTGTTTCCTGTTTAGAAAATAGAAGAAGGGTTCCCATGCCAGCTCTGCCGCTAGCTGAGGGCCTGTGGTCATTTACTTCCTCTCTCTAAAGCCTCAGTTTTTCCACCCATGAAGTGGGAATAAGTGTCCACGCTCCACAGGTTGTGAGAGATTCAGGGAGCTGATAACTTAAAAGACTGTAGCCCAGTGTCTAGCACATGGTAAACCTTCAACAAACAGCACCTGTTATTATTGTTATTTTATTAAGTGAGAAGAAGTGAAAATGAACGTTGCCTTATCGGACAGTTAGGAATGGTAGCAGTAGAAAAATGGGCTTCTGCCTTCTTTATTCACTGATTTTTTTTTTTTTTTTGTGTGTGGTAACCCTCTCTGAACTTTTCAGACATGGGTGAGAACCCCCCTTCACTTACCCACCAGGCTGACCATTCCGAGCTGTGCAGAAAGCTCGAAGCAATGGGTGAGGTGAGAGCAGAGGAGAATAAAGAGAATAAAGACCTAGACACGTGGAGGGGGAGAAAATGGAACAAAGACACGAAAGGCCTATTAACACCTCATCTCTGATCCTCAGAGCTTAAAGTTCGTGTGTGTCAGAGTCCCCTGTGGATAAATGACAGCCTCTCTCTGAACCTCGCTAGGGACGCAGCGAGACCTCGGGAGTGAGAGCGCTGTGTGAGTTGTGCAGCCCCGTGCTATCCCACGGCGTCTGTAGCTGGGCGCTGGCAAAGATCCCACGGTTCCTGGGCCCCAGGCAGAGAGCGCCGTTCCCCACCTGTCCGAGCTGCTTCTGTCTCTCTGAGACACTGGTGGAGCCGGGATACCCACCCAGGATGTCCAGCTCGTTGGTACAAGGTTCTCCTGTGGCTCTGGATAATGCTGGTGCCAGCCCAGGGGAGTGCCCTAGGGCCCCCTGGGGGCCAGGCTGCTGCTTGGAATCCGCCTGCAGCTCAGGGAACAGCATCTGGGGGAGGCAGCTGTAGGGGAAGGCAACACGGGCCTCAATTAGCAATGCACCATCCAGACCCATTCTTTCTTCCCCCCCCTTTTTTTTTTTTTAGATTTTATTCCTCCATTTGAGAGAGAGAATGAGAGCGAGAGCATGGGGCGGGGGAGGGTCAGAAGGTCAGCGGACCCCCCCCACTGAGCAGGGAGCTCAATGCGGGGACTTGATCCTGGGACTCCAGGATGATGACCTGAGCCAAAAGCAGTCACTTGACCAACCGAGCCACCCAGGCACCCCTGATCTAGGCGAGTGCTGCCATCCCACCCATGCCACAGACATGCAACCAAGGCTGCAGGAGGAGAAATGATTGACCCCAGGTTTCAAGATTGTTTGAGTCCAAATCCCAAGCTCTTCCCTCCAGACAGATCTGAGGTCCCACATGAGCATGAAAACACTCCATTACACACCCTCTAAAGGATGTTACCGACCCAGAGCTGACTGTTTCTAACTGTACAGCAAAGTCAAAATGAAAGGGAGTAGTCAAAGCAAAAAAAAAAAAAAAAAAAAAGGAAATGGAAAAAAAAAAAAAAAAAAAAAAAAAAAAGGAATTGGGATTTTGGACACAGAGGAGACAGAAACCCTGGGGGAAAAATGGAATAAGAACAGGGTGTGTAAATATCTTTCATGATACAGCTTTCCCCTGATTATCAGAGAGTCACAGAAAGTGACAGAGACAACAGGCAGTAAGAGAGAAACAGAAGACACATAGAACTTTCTGGAAAGGCTGTCAGAAGAGGGCCTGAAGTGGGCAGCAGGGCTGGGCGGAAAACAAGAGATCGTCTGCAAGGTGGCCACCTGTGTGGGTTTCATGATAGTCATGGACTTAATTTTATTTTGTTTTTCACAATTTAAAGTTTTAAAATTGGAAGTATACCATTTATGCAGAAGAGGAGGGAATAGTATATCGAACCCACTTATTCCCATCACCAAGTCCCATGGCCAGTCTGGTTCTGTGGGCATCCCCGCATGCTCCCCACTTCCAGACAGCCTGTCATTTCGTCATGCGTGTCAAGTGTGAAGGGAGTTTGCCTCCCCTCATGGAACTCTTAAAACTGTGCGCAGATGACCTGGAACACAAGGTCAACCCTTCACAGCCCCTGTGCGTCTCTGGTCTTCCTCTGAGAACGTTCGGCCTGCCGTGGCCACAGGCGCAGAATATGACATTGAAGAGTCCTAGAATGTATCAGAAAGCTCTTATGTGACGGTCCACATTGCCAGGGCTCGAGTCCTACTGTCTCCTCCCCTTACTAGCTGGGGAGGCTTGGACAAGCTTCCTGACCTTTCGATGCATCTGTTTTCTCATCTGTGAAATGGGGTGATAATAGTGCCTCTGTCACAGGACTGTCACGGGTATGAAGTTCGCTAAGAAATGTACAGCTCCTAAAGCGTAGCTTGGTGCACAGTGGGCCCCGGGGGAGATGCCGATTGTCCCTCCGCCCACTTAAGGGAATAGTAGTGAGCACCTACTGGGGCCACGTGCTGGGCCAGGAGCCAGACTCATAGAGATGGATGAGAAGGGTCTCAGCCCCTGGGGAGCTCCCCATCCAGTGGGGGTGCAGACCCAGGAAGAGACACTTCCCAGCAGTGGGCTGTGCCCCAAGCAGTTCAGCCTTCTTAGTTCACCAATCTGAGTGACCAGACTGAGACCCTAGGAGCCACACGGCACTTAGCAGCAGAGCCGGGTGGCCTCGAAGCAGTGGTTCTGGCCAGTTCTCTACATGTGGGTCTCAGGAGCCAGCGGCTCTGGAGGGCAGTGGGGCTCTTCTGGACAGCATGGAGGCAGGTCATTGGGCCAAGTGTAGGCGGCCACTGTGGCTACTGGTTAACCAGGTGAAGGACTTC